CGAACTGTTCGTAACTAGCTAAAGTAACTCAAATATATCAAATAATGCATAAGGAAACAATTCTAAATAATAAAGGTAGAATTTACAATTACAACCCCGAAGTCAACCAAAAGTCAACGTGGCGCCCACGTCCCGAAATCCGACAAATTATAAAATTCGAACACTCATTCAACCACGAGTCCAACCATACCAAAATTAGTCAAATCCAATCACTACTCGACCTTCAAATCCTCAAATTAAAGCCTATAAAGTTTCTACAATTTTTTCGAAATTTCCATCTCAAAACACTAATTAAATGTGAAAACAATGAGTATATTAACAAAGTCCGAGTTAGAATCACTTACCTCGATGAATTTCTTGAAACACCCACAAAAAATCGCCTCAATTTGAGCTCCCAAAGTCCAAATGTGAAATAATACTCTAACCCTCGTTTATAAAGTACAAAATCTGATCTCCCACAGTGCTGACCGCACAATTTACGCGTGGTCTGCACTTCCAGGTTCTGCGGCCACGATCTAAATTGTGCGGCCGCACTTCAGCAGCATATGCACTACCATGCTTTAGTAATTTGATCATAACTTTCTGTACAAACATTCAAATAATAATTGGTTTAACTTTCTTGAAACTAGACTCAAAGGGCTACAATTTTCATGAGTTGGATGAAAATGAGTTCATTAAAAATGGGGGATGGGCTGGGGAGGGGAGGTTTCTTGGTAGGGAATTTATTTGCCTAAAATTAGATGAAAATGAGTTCATTAAAAAACAAACAAAATTGAAGCCAACCAAACATAAAAAAATTAGAAAATAAGGGGGGGGGGGGAAGGGGGGATATGACACTTGCAAAATATTAGTGATGACTGGCTTTTTCAGATAACTACAAGGTGCAACTTATTTATTTTAACATACTAATTTAAAAAAAAAAAGAATTTTGAAATATTTTTTCTCCGTATCAAACACACCTTAAGAGGATGTAAAGTGCTCAATATTATATATGATGGACAATATTAGACGTACTCCTAAATATAAAGACAATTTTGGGTAAAACCGCTTTTGCTAACACTTGGCTTTTTCTTTTAAAAAGCAATTTTCTATTTCATCGGGTACACAATAAGTGACCAATTTACCTTTGACACGCCCATTAAGGAAATACGATCTTTTAGAGAAAAAAAAGATGTATTTACTAAATTAACCTTGATTAATTGTTACCTTGACACATTGGAATATGTAAATAAAGAAAAAATTTGGAAAAATAAAATTAATTCCTTCTTGATTATATAAATGGACACTTATTTTGGATCAAAATAATAAGGTAAAAAGGTCACTTATTATGGACCGGAGGAAGTATCTATTTTGACTTGTTTTTATAAAAATTGCACGAGGTGCCCTATTTGGTCTCCCCCATTTAACCTATACCCAATTTTTTTAACTGTTTTAACTTGTACCCACTTTTTAAACAACTTCAACCCCTTTTCTCCTCTTCCTTCTCCTCCTTTGTTTTCTTCTTCTTCTTCTTCTTTCTTCTGCTGCTGTTGGTGATGCTATGAAACTTCAGTTCAGGGGATGATTGCTATAAGTATGTTTATCATATTATTTAAAAATAAATTATAAATAATTACGTAAGTTAGTAAACAATAATTTGTGAATATTTCCACGTAATTTTGTTCTTTTCACGTTTATTGTTTCCAAAATTTATGATTTAGATATTGTTGGCAATCTGATTATTTTATAGTAGTAATACACTATGAAAGAATAATGTGATTATTTATGTAGTATGTTAGAAAGCTTTTTCAAAAACTTCAGCTTATATAGTGCTGAAGTTTTTACAAATGAACTAAATAACTTCAGCATCTTCTGCTGAAATTTTTGAAAAAGCTTTATGACAAAACTAATGAATCCAGGACAAAAAAACTTCAGCTTATATAGTGCTGAAGTTTTTACAAATGAACTAAATAACTTCAGCATCTTCTGCTGAGTTTTTGAAAAAGCTTATCCAGGACAAAAAAACTTCAGCTTATTTAGTGCTGAAGTTTTTACAAATGAACTAAATAACTTCAGCATCTTCTGCTGAAGTTTTTGAAAAAGCTTTATGACAAAACTAATGAATCCAGGACAAAAAAACTTCAGCTATTTTAGTATTGAAGTTTTTACAAATGAACTAAATAACTTCAGCATCTTATCCAGGACAAAAAAACTTCAGCGTATTGCCTTTGCTACTTCAGGCCCGTCTACGAGAATGCAGAAGTTTTGCGTGATTGCCTTTGCTACTTCAGCCCCGTATGCTGAAGTTACGCGAAAAAGTGGGTACGCTTGTAATTTTTCTTGCAAAGCGGGCACAAGTTAAAACGTGATCCAAAAAGCGGGTATAGATGCAAATCCCTCCTTGTTTTTACCTCATATAGCAAAGGTTAACACCTTATTTATTTTAAATAAATACCATTTAAAAAAATTATATCATATAGATACCTTTTAAGGTTTATAGCAAAATACTTAATTTTGGTTACCTCCTAGCCCTAAGCCACTAAATACGCTATTCAGTTACACTATTTTCTTTCTCTCTACTTTGATACATCCCGTTTCTTCCCCTTTCCCTGAAAACACGATGCTCAATCTCAAAATTCCTCTCACCCACACTATTTTCTTTTCATTCCGATCAATTCTTGCACCGAATTGAATATGTTGGGTAGCAGCGGACCTCAGGCTTCCTGATCGAGTCTTCCCCAGGCAAAAATCCATTCGCAATCCATCAAAACTCAATTATGAGTCTTTAGCGTCGTTAAGCAATGAATCAATTTCGAAAAATCTGATTTAGTTGCAACGATTGGGTGCTTTGAGGTAGGTAACCATGGAATTTCAGGGGATCTCATCAAATCAGTCTTATCCGTCGGTGACAGAGTCTTTGGGATTTTATCGGAGGGAATTCAATCTGACCACCGACAAAATATAAAGCCTTGGATACAGTGGCCGATGGAGCAGCGGCGACGGAACAGCAGCGTGGACGGCCGAGATTGAATCTGTTGGGTAGCAGGTAATGAAAAAAGGTGTCGCGTGTTGTACCTTCAAATCTCAAAGGTGTCGCGTGTTGTGCCTTCAAACGTTGCTACGGCGAATTCTCCGGAAATTAGGGTTTGTTCTTGAACAAAGACGACGGAGTTTGGGGCTGAGCAACTTGATTTTCTATTACTATATTCCAATGTATTTTCATGTATTCATTGTCTTTTTTTTCATTGTAATTCAATGTATCTCGTTATATTCCATGTATTTCATTGTATTCACTGTCTTTTTTTTCATTGTGTTTCAATGTATCCTGTTGTATTCTATGTATTTCATTGTATTCACTGTCTCGCTATATGCCATGAATGTATTCATATGTTTTTTTTAATTAATATAATTTATGTATTCATATGTATTATATAATTTCTCTGAAGATTGCTATGTTTTGGGGGTATTTTTCGGTTGAGAGTCTTTTTTATAATTGAAAATACAATTTTTGTGTGTTATAATTGAGTTTGTTGTGTTATATTAGGAGTCTATTATGTTAATTGATTCACTTTCCATTTTAAAAACAGTGTAATCCCCTATTTCACGCCGTGAATACAGTCGAATACAATAATCTGTCCAGCTGTAATCCCATGTTTCACTCTATGAATACAGTCGGATACAACAACTGATTAGCTGGACTTCCCTGATTCACGCCTATTTTTGCTACTGTATTCATGAATACAATAGCTTAAATATATCAAATACATCTTATAACCACAGAAAAAGTATCTATAATCCGTAATATAACAAATGGTATATATAGATGACTAATTACTACTAAAAGATAGTGTTTTATGAAAATTTCCCTTTTTTCTTCCTAGTCAAGGTTTAACTTTGTCTTCATTGATAGCCAATCTTTTACACAGATAAAGAAAATCCCTTTTACACGCAAGTAGCCCATGATGTGTTTGGGGATGCGTATAGCCGTATACAATGATCTATTTTTCCGAGTGGCTCGAGTTTGGGGCTTTGAATTTGATGTGTTTGTGTTTTTGGGACATAGTTTGGTTTTCCAATGCAATTCTTCCAAAATCTAAGACCAACACCATCTTATAAAAAGTTAAACCGAAATTGAGATGGCCTATATTTTAATTTCTTTATAGAATATACTCTAACTCTGTTTACAAGTGCTGATTCTCTTGTTTGTTTTTGTAAGTACTCCAATTTAGGAAGCATTGTCACAAGATTTATACCCACATGTATACAGAGGTGGAGCTAGAATTTCAAGCTTATGGCTTTAGTTTTCTATGACTTTTAAGCTACTGGGTTCTATATTATTGATTTATAACTAATTAATGAATTTTTCAAAACAAATATAGAGTTTGAACAAGAGTTACTGTTGGAATTACATAATGCACACTTATTAGTTAGTCAAATTAGCTAGTTTTACTTCAGTTCTTTTGTTCAGTTTTGGCCCAAAGTTTGGCCCACATGTATTTATAAACTTCCGGGTTACAGCCCATGTAAAAAGGGTAGTGAGTTTATAGTTTTGCCCCAAGTATAAATATAGGTTCTAGAAGACTCTGTATAGATGAACAAATGAGAATGAAAAATATCGAGGCTTCCTTCGGAATTTTTCTCTTCTTCTCTTTTCTGAAACCATATCCAATTTCATATGATTGTTAATCTTCACATGGTATCAGAGCCATGGGCGTTACATAGACCTTAACGAGAGGAGTCGACCGATCTTACCCTCGTCGTTTGATTCGAAGATTTTGCTCGTTCACTATTTTTTTTGTTGCGACTGGTATGCGACAATAATTTTTTTCGATTCTTTGCTGGAATTTGGATCATCGGTGATTTCCTTCTTCGATTCTTTGCTGATTTGGATTATCAGTGAGTATTTCTCGATTTTGCCGAGTTTCATTTGGAATTTATTTTTTGGAAACTTCTATTTTTTTTGCCAGAAAAACCCTAGAAATTCTCTTTTGCTGAAGAGTATTTTTTTTTACTTTGCTAAAATGGTGAATACTGAAACTCCTGTGGACGCTAGCTCTAGTAATAATTCTACGTACATTCCTGACTCCACAAGTCCTTTATTTCTCCACTCGTCTTATATACCTGGGATGTGTTTGGTGAGTACTCCATTCTCTGAGTCGGGGTATGGAGGATGGAGAAGAAGCATGATAGTGTCTCTTTCTACTAAAAATAAAATAGGATTTGTCGATGGTTCATGCCCTAGACCAGTTACCACTGATGTTGCAAAGCTGCATCAATGGGATAGATGCAACAATATGGTGATTTCGTGGTTAACTAGCTCACTTTCACCAACTATAGCTGAGAGTGTCCAGTACTCCGAGACGGCCAAGAGCATTTGGAAACAATTGGAGCGTAGGTATGGGGCTGTGAATGGTACTAAGGTGTTTGAGATAAAGAAGGCCTCCACACAACAAGGCTCCCTCGACATTGCATCATATTTCAATAAACTAAAAAAACTCTGGGATGAGCTGGGTACAATGCGTAAGAATCATGGAAATCGTTGCACGTGTGCTGCAAGAGATGGTATTCAAAAGGATGAGGAGGAGGATAAGCTTCATCAATTCCTTATGGGCCTAAATGAAGTATATGTGGGAGTGAGAAGCAATTTGCTAATGATGCAACCTCCTCCCACACTAGATAGTGCATACAGTACTCTACTTCAAGATGAAAATCAGAGGCAAGTTCAACACATTCCCCAGCTGGTCCCAGAAGCTGCTTCTTTCAATGTGAATGCCAACAATAAAGTTTTTCCTCCGAATGTCAACAGTAAGGCATTCCCTCCTAAGCAATATACTCAGAAAGTGGATTTTGATCAGCCCAAGGGAAATATTTTTTGCAAATACTGTAAAAAGCCTGGACACCTAATCGATAAATGCTACAAGTTACATGGATTTCCACAGAATTTCAAATTTAATTAAAGGGAAAAGGATGGCTGCTAATGTGGCTGCTGAAGTTGAGTGTCCTGCAACAGCCTATACTCCACCTCGGTATAACTCACCTCAACTTTACACTGCTTCTGATCATGAGGAACAAGCTTCTTCATACCTGGATTGACAAAGCAACAGTATGCACAACTTATGTCCCTCTTGCAACAAACTCAAGTTCCTTCGGCTGCTGATTCTCAAACTAGCCTCATGGGATCTGCCAACTTTGCTGGTAGTACTTTCTCTTTGCCTGTTTATATTAATGATGATTCTCATGTTTGTTTACTGTCTGGTGCTAGTAGAAATATTTGGATTATAGATAGTCGAGCTACTGACCATATGACCTCTAACAAAGACATACTTTCTAATCTTACTCCACTTCCTACTCCTTATTTGGTAACTCTTCTCAATGGTTACAAAGCAAAAGTCACTTATACTAGTTCTGTTACCTTGTTCCCTTCTTTCACTCTTCATAAAGTCCTATACATTCCTAGTTTTCAATATAACTTAGTCTCTGTTTACAAGTTGATTCTGCAATTTCAATGCATCATTTTGTTTACTTCCTCTTCATGCCTTTTGATACAGGCCCATTTCATGAGGAAGCTTCTGGAACTTGGTAGACAGGACCAAGGCCTCTACAAGCTCCTTTATGCCAATGAGTCTGATTCTAGTCCTAGTTGTCCTACTTCTGTTTTCAATAAAAATGTGCCATGTCTGAATAGTGGTGATAGGTCCCTTGCAAGTACCAAACAATCTAATTGTGTTCCTTTACTTTCTAGTAATGATGTACCTAGTATAAACAAGCATGATGTACTTTGGCATCATAGGCTGGGACATATTCAATTTGCTAGAATTAAAAATATTTCCTCCATTTCTGCTCAACTATCTTCTAAACAATCTTTTGTTTGTCCTATTTGTCCTCTAGATCTTCACAGTTACTAGGTTCGTCGAACCCGTAGCCAGAATGCTGGTTCCGCCCCTGCATGTATTTACTTACGATGTTGAAACAACTAGCAACCATGGCCAAACCACTAGCACTATGATCCATCAAATAGTATTTGTAACACCCCAACAAAATTAAAACCAATATGTGGTGCTCTATCTGATCGAACAAAGGAAGTTATCTTTTTGTTTGCACAAAGTGAAATATCTTTTTTATTAGTTATGCTAATACTATATTTTGAATTGAACAAGCATAACGTAAAGCAAGGAGACAAAAGAACTACCATATGATCTGATGTTTGCTATGAAATAGTAGGATTGTTAATTTGAACTCATAAAGTTAAAATTCTGAATTCGCCTATGATTCTGAACCCTTATTATTTTACAAATAATTATTTGAAGTTGAAGGTCAAATTTCTTCAAAGCTGGTCACACAAACACCAACTTGCAAGTCACATGCAAATAAGTTAGCAAACAAACACTCATAAAAATTATTCGTTTGAAATTCAGCTTTGCCTATAGAAAAAATGGCCATAACATGAAAGTGGGGGGGGGGGGGGGTTGGATTGCTTATTTTAAAAATTGTTATTAGTAGTTGACTAGTTTACCAATTAGTCAACTAGAAATAAGAGTAGGATAATAGTAAATGTAGGAATTAAAGACCCCATAATTTAGTTCGGATTCAATGTGAATCCTAGTCCAGTCCCCTTGGGTTGCAAGGGTGTTCTCTTTCAGTGATCGATGTTTCTTGAGTACAGAAGGAATGGTGTAGCTTTACACCAACAGCTTAATCTTTGTATCTCTTTTCTTTTCTTGATATAATACCACACCAGTGATTATCTCTCTTTCTTCTCTCAATAGTTACACAACAGATAGAGCTATTAAAACGGGCCAGGCCAGGCCAGCCTAGCCCAAACCTCGTAGGCTTTTAAATTTGGTGGGCTAGGATGGGCCGGCCCGCCACATGAATGGGCCTTAAAATGGCTAGCCCAACCCAACCCTAAGAGGACCGCGGGCTAGGGCGGGTCGGCCCTTCAATTTTTTTAGAAAAAAGAATTTCTTTAAATCCTTAAATATTTTTTCGTGACGTAGTCAACTAATCATGCAAATAACTTCTATTTTCTTAGAGCCTACAAAAAACTTGATATTTGACGAAGAATCTCGTAATTGAAATGCGAATTCTCTATATCTCTAGCTCTTCTTTTTTAAAGTTACATGAAAATTTTCTTAATATTTTCTTTTATTTTTCTCAGATTCAGGGATTTCTTCCATAAGTTTATATGCCAAGATTTTTTAATTAAGGACTAACATCATTTGCTGATTTTATCATTATAGTCCATAATTTTTTTAAAATTCTTGAAATTTGCTAGTGGTCAATTTTTTTTCCTGTGTATTTATAATTGATCTTTTTCTACACTGAAGAGCAGTTTCAATATTAATAATATATTGAAGCAATCCAAACTGATCATTGATCACTTAAAGTAATATTTTCTTTTGAAAAAAGATTATTATTGGTCACCTAAAACTTTTCGAGTTCGTTATTAATTAAGCAAAAGAAAAACTAATTTTGTCATATTACATACATGTCAAAAATCTAAATTCTAGTTGATATGGTAAGGTAAATGAGCAATCTAGGGTTGGAGAATAGGGATTGCAGTTAATAGTTTTTAGTTTTTACTTTTTCTAAATATTAAATATTTAATACGTAATTTATTTATATTTAATTAATTTTTGGCCCACACGCCGGCCCAGGCCCAGCCTCGGTTAAGCCTTAAGGGCTAGTGGGCTGACTTGGGCCGGACTTATAAGCCTCAATTCTAAATAGGCTCAAAAAATTCTAGCACAACCCTACCCAAGTAGTGGGCCGGGTTGGGCTGGCCTCACGGGCCAAGCCCATTTTGACGGCTCTAACAGCAGATCTAAAAGAACTACAATGCTTGTTTGGAGTAGAACAAAAGGAGGGTAGATGGTTCGATCAAAGTATGTGTTTTCATGTCTGGAACGTCTGTATATATACTTTTCATGAGGCCTTCAAGAATCTTGAGAGATTGCAAATCCAAGAGAGTTGATCCTTGAAAGGAATCATAGATTGATTCTTTCCCGGAATAAAGTTGAGTCCCCGTTAATATTTCTTGATATGTTTCTTGACGAGCTTTCCATCGCCGAGTCATATCCGTTGGATCCCTTGATCTTTGGCTTTATTGATTCTCAGTGATTGCGTTTCCCTTTGATTTCGGACCTTCCAGTAATAGCTTCTGATTAATTATTCTTGCCGGATCTTCGTCATCTCTTCCTTTTTCATCGCTGATTCTTTTCCTTGTTAGCTTCCATCAATCTCTGATTGATTTCTTCCGTCAATCTCTGATTGATTGATTTTTTCCATCAATCTCAGATATTTCTTTTGCGTTGTATTTCTTCCGTCAATCTCTGATCTTCCTTTTGCATTGCGGATCTTGATTGTTTCCCTTGATCTATTCCTGACTAGTATTGCTTCTCGCATCCCTTTAGAATATTCCTTGAGTCCCTACACCAAAAGTGATTATATTATTTTTCATCATTGAAACTTATAATTAACAATCTCCCCCTTTTTGATGATGACAAAAATAATATAAGTAAACAACAGTAGACTTCCATGTAGTTCTTGTAGTTGACTCCCCCTCAATGAGTGCAGTCGACTTCCCCTTAACGAGTGCGGTCGACTCCCCCTCAACAAGTGCTTTCATACTATGTTCTTTCCGTTAGTCGACTCCTGCAATGTGCTTTCTGTACATGCATAATGTATAGTTTTTCCTCCCCCTTTTTTGACATCAACAAAGAGGGGATAAACACAGACTAAAACAGGCAATGTAACGATAACTACAGGCTAGTCAAGTAATATAGATACTAAAGTTGGCATAATAGGCATGCAGAGTTATAGCAAAAGAAAGAAAAGAAATCATCCAATCCACTGGTTATCCAGTCCAAAACAGCAAAACACAAAAAATATTATTTGAGATTTCCTCAGCTAGCGACGCAAGAAACAAGTAAGAGTATTGCAGATCGCCTCCTTTAGACGGTGAAAGTTGGCATTGGCTGAAACCTGTGACCCCGTCAATCCTGTCATGCACTTCCTTGAAAGCTTTGACTGCGTTTTCTCCAAGTCTGAGAATTTTGACCCGTATCTTTGAAACATCTGACCTTGTTTCCTTCGAGATTGTGTGGATGTCACCAACAGTAGACTGAATGGAAGCAAGAAGATCCTGGATGCTGGTCAGCTTGTTATCAATGGCAGTCAGTTTCTCGGCGAGATCAGGATCACTTACACTGTGTTGGGAACTGAGGCTTTGGTCTTGGAATCATGTTGACCATTTTTTACTTCACCATCCTGTTTCTTCACCGAAGAGCCCTTTATACACACATAACCCATACTAGCAAACGCTCTAGAATTGTAGGATTTTGAAATAGAGACAAAGGGGTATTGCGATACAGAGATGTTGTGGGCTTCTAAGATGCAAGTGATAGCCATACCATGGGGCAAACTGGTGGGATCATCAGCACTTTCTATCCTGAAATTTATGACCCAGGAGGCTAACTTAATCTTGAGTTTGGTCACAAGACAGTAGACAAGAAAAGTATCTCGTTGAGAGAAGGTGGAGAATGGTCCAGTGCGAGGAAGAAGAGTGGTTGCAAATGTGGGCTAAAACTCGGGTTACAAAGCTAACATCATTGGGACCTAACTGGTTAGGGAGGAGATCAGATGGACACTCATCAATACAATATTTTGCTTGATCAAAAGAAATTTTAAAATCATCAGGCCAAGTATTCTTAAAAACATGGGAAAAAACCAGAGCACTTACACAGAAAATTGAATCGAACATGGCACAATCAAGAACAATACGTTTACCTAAAACTAAGGATTCTAACTTATCAGGCTTGCCAGAGCGAAGATTTGCATAAACATTCTCACTAAGGGTTCATAAACTTTAGAAGGGGATACAGAGAGGAATTTTGACCATCCTTGAAAAACAAAAAGATCCTTTACCTTACAATTGAGGGCTTTTATGTCGTCAAGG